CCCAGCGCCTCAAGCGGTGCCGCCGCGCGGCCGTTAACGGCACCCGTCAGCCGTTACCGGCTTCCCTCAGCCGTTACACCCCCCCCGCCGCGTCAAACGGCGAAGGGGAGAGATAGAGGAAGCAAATCCATCCTGCCCAGCGCGCCCCTCCTCCGGCCGTGGTAAGCACCCGCTCAGCGCCCCTTGTTACACACCAACGCTTAATCCTTCCACAAAAAAACCCCAAATAAACCCGAAACCAGCCTTCTGGGCCTCCATCCCACCAATTCTGAGGAAAACCTCACCCCCGCGTTGTAAGCACTAGGTCTGTCTGGCGTTTTAACCGATCGTGGGAATCCTCTTTCACAGCAGCAAAGGGGGAGCAGCAGGATGAGGGACCTGATGTGAGATGGTGGTGGGCTCCCCCCCAAAAACCCACCAAACACTTCCACACATTCATTTTGGTAAAACTGTTAAAAGACAGACTGGTGTTGGCACTCGTTTGTGAATCGCTACATAATTTAGTGCTGAAACCATGCTAATTAGGGTGGTGAGGCACTGGAACAGGTTGCCCAGAGAAGCTGTGGCTGCCCCATCCCTGGAGGGGTTCAAGGCCAGGCTGGATGGGGCTTTGAGCAACCTGGTCTGGTGGGAGGTGTCCCTGCCCACGGCAGGGGGGTTGGAACTCGATGAGCTTTAAGGTTCCTTCCAACCCAAACCATTCTGTGATTCTAATCACACTAATTGCAACAGCCTAAAAAACCTGACTCTGCAGTTTTAGTTTTTCTGTAAAAACGCCCTTCTAACATTTTTTCTTAAACAACTTAGTGGAGTTACCTTTCACACCACCTACATTCACCCAAAACTAAAGCACAGATCTCCATCAATGATTAATTCTCTCTCAATCAAAATATACACCCAAATAAGAGATTTATTGGTTGCAGTAGTTATGCTTACTTTACATATAAAATAGGAATTCAAATATTTTTCCATCATCATGTTTTGGTATTAAACATCTCAATAATTCAAACAGTATTTTTTTTAAACTGCATAATACGGGATGACAAATCTCCAAGGTGAGATACTCTCACCCACGTAATGATTTATAAAATGCATTTGTAGATCATTGCCGTAGTGAAAATACGCTTGGGGCATTCATTTATGAATAATACATTTTACGATTTTTTTTTCTTAAGGCAGAATGGATGATTTTAGAGTAAGTATTTTATTTGGTACCGTGAGTGTCTTGACTCAATCGAGTTGCAAACTCTACTAGCGTTCTTGTGGGGCGCCCTGCCATGCCTTTCCGAAGATAGGGCACCTCGTCTTTGTTGGACATCACCCCAGCTATATCCAAGTGAGCCCAGTGAGGGGCAGTGACAAATTCCTTCAGGAATGCAGCAGCTGTGCACGCTCCTCCAGCTCTGTGGGAAGCAGAAAAAATTGTATTGTTTCTAAAGCAACACCAACAGCACAAACAAATACAATGAACAAACATACATTAAACAAATACACTGGAAGAAAGGGGCACGTGAAGGATATTGGTACATCTCACCTGCTGTACTTTCCAATGTTACTCAGATCTGCAAGTGGAGAGTCTGTTACTTGTTTGGTGTAATGCTCAAAAAGAGGCATTCTCCAAACTCTGTCTCCTGTCACAATGCTAGCCTGAAAAACAAACAGTGACACTGTTGGCAAATTTTTCTTTTTCTCTTTTTTTTTTTTAACTGCATTTATAAGCCCCGATATTGTGCATGCTTATTTTTGTTTAGCTTTGATCAGTCTAAAAATCTTCAGAACAATATGAGGTACTTGGAAACACATTGCAAAACAAAACAGTGAATCCTGCTTTTTAGGTACTTTAGTGTTAGTCAAGAGGCAAAATCTAAAGACTGCTTTTTTTTTTCTTCCCCCCAATCTTTTTTTTCTGACAACGCAAATCCTTCCCTTCAGAGACTTCCTTTAACCATCACAATTCAGTCACTCATGAGACCTTTCTGAATTTGTGTCAGTGTTGTTAAGCACAATTAATTATATTTTTAACTACTGTCAGTAGTCCAGAGCTTATACTTATGCATTATCAGAGTTATCAGAACATGCAGATCCTTGAGATGATGTGCATGCAGTTTCCTGAACTTTAATGAAGAGCTACTAATTAAGTAAAAATTAATTTTTTTTGTTCAATTAAATCCAGTACTAACAATTCCTACAAAATTTCAAAATGTAGTAACTTTTAGGTATGCATAAAGACTTTCAGTAATGTGCTAACTTTTCAATAAGGACAGCTATTATTAAATCACCATCATAATTCAATAATAATGCAGATCCTACCTCATAAAGGTGAGTCCAAAGCCACGATGAGTTTGTGAACACTCCAGTCGCAGCAGACCCCAGTGCAACATCCATGGCACCTACAGAAACACACTTTCAAGGTCACACAGCAAAGGCAAACCTGAATTACTCCTCTGCATCCTCACAGAACTCCTCACAGGACTTCCCATTCTTAATTCCCACTATCAGTAATGTCTAAAAAGTCTGCAAAACCTAAAGATTTTAGTACACTTGCATTTTTAAAAGTTTAAACGTTAAAACATTTATATAATCCCATAGGACAAGAATTCATAAAAATTACATTCTGTATCTCACGAAACTAGATTTTCTGATTTCAGCCTGTTTCTTAGCAATATTTCTAATATAATGTATTCAGTAATAACAGTGTCTTCTCAAAAGACTGGAGAAGGCTGAGGGGAAATCTGATCAACACCTATAAATAATTAAAGGACTGGTGTCAGGAGGATGGGGCCAGTCTTTTTTCAGTGGTGCCCAGTGACAGGACAAGAGGTAACGGGCACAAACTTGAATATAAGAAGTTCCATCTAAACATGAGGAGGAACTTTACTTTGAGGGTGTCAGAGCCCTGGAACAGGCTGCCCAGAGAGGTGGTGGAGTCTCCGTCTCTGGAGACATTCAAAACCTTTCTGGACATGGTCCTGGGCAACCTGCTCTGGGCAGACCTGCTTTGGCAGGGGGGTTGGACTAGATCTCCAGAGGTCCCTTCCAACCCTGTATCATTCTGTGATTCTGTGCAGAAACATCAAAGTCTGTGTGGGTTTTCCTGCTCTTCTTAGTTCCAGCTCGGCTGGACCAGCCCAACTTCATCTGCATTACTAAGCAGGTACCCTGCACACCAACACCCTCCCCAGACCTGGAGACACAGTGCAGTTGTTAGAGCATAAACTGTACTAGCTGCTGTCCTACAACATGGAATATCATCTCAATTGCTTTCAAATTCAGGTTGGCTTCATATACAAACTGCAACTAATCCACAGCCCAATTAATGAGAGTAGCAAACAACTGACCTGCAAAATGAGCTGGGAAGGGAGACTGCTTACCTGTTAACGTTGCAGCATTCACAATAGCCCTTGCATTAAAGTCGTGGGCATAACAGAGAGCATCAGCTAACAGCAGTCTTCCTTCTGCATCCGTGTTATCTACCTTCAGGTGCAAAATTAGTAAAAATAAAGATTAACTCCTGAAAACACCCCTTTCACTGACATTTCTTACATATTATCTTAAGTAGCTGTCAGATTGTCAATGTTCTGTTACAGCCCCTAGGAATTTCAGGTAAACAAAATTATTCAAAATAAACTAAAAGAAAAAAGTTAGTATTGATATATTTATAAAATAAAAGCATATCTGTAGCTGAGGTCAAATTATCTTTCAGCCTTATCTGCGTGCTGGGCCTCTGTGCTGCTGGCTCCTCAGAAGAGCCTGGAGAGGTGCCTCAGTGGACCACATGGAGCTGGTCACCATTCCCAGCAAAGGCCCAGGAATCCCAGGGGCTGCTTCTCAGCAAGAGCAGAGATCATAGAATTATAGACTGGTTAGAGCTGGAAGGGACCTCAAAGATCATCCAGTTCCAATCCCCTGCCATGGGCAGGGACACTTCCTACCAGACCAGGTTGCTCAAAGCCCCATCCAGCCTGGCCTTGAACCCCTCCAGGGATGGGGCAGCCACAGCTTCTCTGGGCAACCTGTTCCAGCGTCTCACCACCCTCACAGGAGAGAATTTCTTGCTAGTATCTAATCTAAATCTCCCCTCTTTCAATTTAGAACCATCACCCCTCATCCTACATTCCCTGATAAAGAGTCCCTCCCCATCTCTCCCGTAGCCCCCTTTAGGTACTGGAAGGCCATTATAAGGTCTCCCTGGAGCCTTCTCTTCTCCAGGGCTGAACAACCCCAACTCTCTCAGCCTGCCCATGGAAACCTCAAAGACCTAGAGGATACTACAAAGCAGATGCACATGTAAAAACAGTTCCTTGTTAGAGTGCTCTCTCTTTGGATCTTGAAACTTCTTCCCTCTAAAAAAAATAAATAATCAGTACCCCCTTCACTTCTTTCTGCTTTCAGGGAAAATTAATGATGAATTCTGCAAGATTAATTACATGATGTGCTCTGAGCTACTAGCACTTTCTTGCAAATTTCTCCTTGGTGGGTGAATACGTGCTCTGTCTTTTCCCCTCAAAGCAGAGGGTGGCTGAACTCAGTCTTGGGAGAAGAACCTCAAGGAACTGGAAGGTTCAGCAAGTCAAGGGTGGCGGAACCACAGAAATCCAGACTGAAATATTGATTAAGCCATCTACTTCTGCAGGAGATCAGCCATCTATAGCACAATGACTTCCAATCCCATTTAATCTATTAGATGAAAATGGAACAGTTTGGATTAAATATGAAATACGTATTTTGGGTAATGATTTGGCAAGCTCCTTTGAACCAACAGCCCCTATGACTCAGAGTTCTGATTGTACAGAGCAGCTTGGCAGGGTAAAGACCTTGGTGATGTGAGGAGGAAACTAATACTCTTATGTCTTACTCCAGACAGCAGGGGAGTGTCCTGAAGGGTTTGCTGGAAGCGATTGGTATGTTCTTCATTCAGACTGAGAACCTGTATTTATGAGCACTGTAACAACCTCTTGCGTTAAAACAAGATTTTCTAGCATCTTCAGT